AAGCAGTATTACTACATAGATAAGTTTAATTATTATAATTTATGATTAGATAGATCAATAGATAGCTAGATAGTAAGTTACATAGAAAAATAGATAAAATAGTTACATAGATAAATAACATTAGATATAGTTACATAGATAGTCCTAAATAACATTAGATATATATAGATATATTGCATATATAGTTACCCAAACCTCTATGAATTATCCAAGCATTTCCTGTGTACCCCAGCCTCATCTGTGCCATGTTTTTTCCAAGACTGGGGAAATAATAATAATAAAGCTTTATTTATATAGCACTTTACAGCTCCAGGGAGCACAAAGTGCTGCACAATAGAATATGTATATCAACTAAAAAAACAATACTAGAACAATAAAACCTAAGCAAGAATAAAACACAAATTTCCAAAATGGGAGCAATAAAAACTTCCATATCAAGATACAAATAGGCTAAGCATAGCTAGTAAGCATAGGTAATCCTAATTCAGTGAGATGCATGAATCCAGTAATAAAAACCAGTGTAAACACTGGCGTGTTGACGCTATTGTTACTTTTTTTGTCATAAAAAAGCAAAAACTATGATAACACTTAATTTTAATTTTTGGTTTGCCTCTGTTGCAGCTACAGTACGACATGTTCTTCCCGGGAGCGCGTGAAGACCTTGTTGTGTTCTTTACTGTTGCAGTAATGTATTGCCACAAATGTAGGGTGAGTACTTCATTAATCAACGCTGTTCTGTAATAACATACGGAGACCAGGCTTGTCCTCAAGCGGTGAACTCTTTTACTGTCTTACTCAGGAGCCTAACACACAGGCATAACCAATCAAACCATGAGCAACCAATCAGCAGCAGATAAACAATGTTGAGCACCGAGTGCTCGATGAAATCCACCACAGACCTAAAGAGTCAAACATTGTACTGAGGTCTAGGGCGAAGTATAGTGTCTGATCGTTAACGCTTTAGCTGTGCGCGCTCCCAGGAGGGGCATCCAGTTTTCGTCAGGCAGCAGAGCTCGGCATAACACCCGGCGCTCGAGGAACCGCACATGCGCAGATCGCACACCATCTCCACGGAAGAAGGCGGACCAGTATTCCTGCAGTCAAACCGAATAAATAGTATCCAGAGTCATGGCGTTTGACTCCCACCTAAGTGATAGTTCACTTCTAGCTGCCGGAATAGCATTAGCCGTAGTGTCAAGTTTCATCAATGGCTCGACATTTGTGCTTCAAAAAAAGGGCATATTGCGCTCCCGCGACAGAGGTAGACTGAAACAGCAGATAGTCTAAGTAGACGAGCATGACAATGCTTTAAAGAGTACCCGTACCGTATGGGAAGAAGCTAGGCTATGGTAGAAGCGGGACAACAATGACTACAGTAACTTGAATCGAGCTTCATAGACCACAGAAACTAAACTTTTCGCCGTGTCTTCCTCTAGGAGGGTCGTACCTCAGAGATGGGGTGTGGTGGAGTGGCACAATGTGCAGTGAGTATAGTATATAGTTGTTGTGTCTCCTTACTTCATCTGAAATACCGTCCGTGAGCTTTCAAGGCTAATTGTTCTGGCACACCTGTTTATGATTCTCATTAGTGATTATTGGTCAAATTGGGAATTTCCTTGCATACAATGTGGCACCTGCTGTGATAGTTACACCACTAGGAGCCCTTGGAGTGTTATTTGGGTAAGTCCAATCCAGAATTGGATTTATTTATTTAATTGTTTTTGAGTTGAGTTTAACTTTGTGATATGGTTTGGTGTAACAAAGCAATATAGGCTAATATATCTATAACTACTCGTTTTCACTGTAGTTTACACACTTCCACTTTTGGGATAGGAAATGGTGTTTCTCAGCTATATATCAATGACACACTGCTACAGTGCTTCTTTTGTTATTCCAGTTTCCCTGCCCTCTGTTTTCAAGATAAGATCCATACATCAGCCCCACCTGCCACCTAGCAAAGGTTTAAGAAGTGGTTTTTGAACCGTGAAGAATCGGTTCAAACAGCCAGCTATGGAGGAGCTCTCAGCAGCTAAAAGCCCAATACAGTGGCTGTCAGTCTGAAGAAGTCACATTCTTTTTGCACAGACAAAAGCCTCTTTTACGCTCCCTATCCAATGCAGACATTTACACCTCACCGTTCTGTTTAAATGGCACAGTACCAGCATGGAGGGGTCAGTGTTGGCTGTCCCAAATGCTCCAACCAGGGATAATATTTTTTTCTGAGATGAGTTCACTCCACCTCATGTGTAAACAGGGTCAGGCAGAATGGGGGGTTGGCGGTCTGTATGACAGAGAGAGAGAGAGAGAGCTAGAGAATGAATGAGGAGAGAGAGCAGAGTCAGTGAGAGCAAAGTGAATCAAAATTAAAATGTTTGTTGTGGTTGTTTCACTGCGATTACATTCTAAAGCGGAAGTAAACACAGCTCTGCACAACCCTGTGGGGAACCCTGCCTTCAAAGAGACACGCTGACCTGAAATTGAATGTACATAGTAGTCTACTGTAATTCCCAATTTTCATTCATAAATATAACAAACAAAATCAGATAACACATTTTGTGCGGCATATGGGACACGGAAGCCTGCATAAAGAGATTTCAAAATCTCAAGAATCCACTAGCTTGCCACAATATAAACAAATATTTTATATAAATGTAAATGGATGCAATTATTAAATAAATATAGGCCTTATCACCGTTGGCTTTCTGATATTCTTAGAGTACGTGTTAAGTTGGGTTTTATATTGTCTTTAAAATGTCTTCAAAAGTCTCAAAGTGCAGACATCACATACAAATTCCAGATATAACACTGTTGCTCTGTGTAAATATATTGATGATTTCCTTGTGTATCTTGCAAAACAATGTTGTGTTTGTGTGATGCAGGGCTGTGCTTGCTTCTTGGGTCTTGAAGGAGCATTTAAATATCCTGGGGAAGCTCGGCTGTGTATTATGTTGCTGTGGCTCTGTTGTTCTTATCATTCATGCCCCTAAAGCAGAAGCTGTAACATCAAGACTGGAGCTAGAAGAGAGGCTGTCAGACCCAGGTAACATTTATAGTCGAGTTTGTTTGGATTTTAATCCGTTCTAGTAACTGATTAATCTGTACTCCAGAATTATTTAAGATGAAGTACACAGTTAAAGTCAAATGAGGCCAGTAAATAGTGACAGCAATTACACAGTGTGCAGTCCAGCTACTTTAACTCCTTTGTTGTGATTTAACAAACACTTTTCTCCTTGAGAATATACAGGATACATTATCTTACTAAAATGCCCTTTCTTACCCTGCAGTGTTTGTAATGTATGCTCTCCTTGTGGTCGTGCTGCTGATCACTCTAATCGTGTGGATTGCTCCGGCTCATGGAACATCAAACATCATGGTGTACGTCGCCATATGTTCCCTCTTGGGAAGCTTCACTGTTCCAAGCAGCAAAGGACTCGGCCTGGTAGCCCAAGATGTCTTTGGGGAAGGGGCGTTGAGCAGCAGAGCTCAGGCTCTCTTCCTGGGCCTGCTGGCAACACTAGCTGTCGGCATCCTGACACAGTTCTTCTTCATTAATAAGGCCTTGGAGTGTTTCAGCTCCAACATGTTTGAAGCCATATACTATGTGTCGTTCACATCCACCGTGACTCTTGCTTCTGCTCTTCTCTTCAAGGAGTGGATTGCGCTGACTTTAACTAACGGCCTTGCCATGCTTTGTGGTTTAACAACAGTGTGCGTCGGGGTCATTCTACTCCGCATTTCCCAGGAGGCGTTGATTATTTGGAAGACAAAGGAGGCATGGGAAAAGACAGACTGAAATGGCTTAATTTTTACTTGTGCCATGCTTTCTATGTGAGCTCCACATGAAATGCTCAAAGCTACAGTATATTTATTACCACTTGCACTTAATATTTTACTTGAATTCTTCAGTTTCTGATCAAGCAGTTACTATGTAGCCCACACATATCACCATGTAGTTTCTCCAGATAATATTTTCTGCTGTAATTTCATTAATATACACAAACTCGTATCTCAGTGAAGGCTGATATTTCACTTCAGCTGCACTTTTAAGAAAAACTCAAGCATGGCCTGACTAACAATTGATTTGTCGACCTTATGTTTTCACTCATTTCGAACAGGTGCTAAGGTGCTATTATCTAGAATATTCTTATCAAGGCTCTAGTACTTTTGTTCTGTGGCCAGTAATTGTTTTGTTGTGACAATTTGTTATACATGTGTAATTAAAATGTTTGGCTCATGGATTGTGTTTACACTCATTTCTGCTACTGTTCATGTCAGAAGTGGCTCAGCAGTGATGTGGTGATTTGGTGAAACAAGCTCATCTTGAAACTGCTGTCCCAATCATGGGACACTCTCCTTAAAAATCTATGATAAGTGTTGGATTAATCATCCTGACTTAAAGTGAATAAAACTAAATCAAACTAGTTGGTGTCACCTGTAAAACATTGTGGGCGTCCATGACCCTGTCTCCAGTTCACCATTTGTCCTTCCTTAGACACTGTTGGTAGGTACTAACCACTGCAGACCAACAACACCCACCAAGACCTGCAGTGTAGGAGATGGTCTGACCCAGTCATCTCACCATCACAGTTTGATCCTTGTCAAAGTCACTCAGATCCTGACCCTTGTCCATTTTTCCTCCTTCCGACAGGTCACTGTAACAGATTGGCAGTGTTATTCACTTCACCTGCCAGTGGTCATAATGTTATGCTTTATTGGTGTATATTAATCCAGTTTTGTCTTCCAGGAAATAAATGTTTAGACAGTTTCTTATGAAGTTATTAGAACATGCTTTGTCCAAAATTGAGATTCCTTGTACTGAGAGTGGAGCTAATCGTGGTTCAGTGATTTGATGTGCCAATATATTCTTGATTTGAAACAAAATCACGGGGTAGTGCCTTATACAATTTAGTAAGGTCTGCAGGCGGTGTACCTGTGTGGTACTGGACTTTAGCCTGGGGAGGGCACAGCTCAGTGGCCACATGTCCACTGACGAGCAGAAGAAGAGTAGCAGTGCGGCAATCAACGGGCGGTCCTGGCTCTGTGTGGAGGCAGTATGTGATGGTTGGTCACAGAGCCAGGAAGCAGGCTAGCCCTTAGCCACCCTCTAGGTGCCACCGCTTTCATACTGTCGAGGAAACCAGCCACCTCTGTACAGGTGCGTAACCCATGATTTCTCAAGCAAGTCGTACGCTGATTCTTCGTTAACGCTAGCTAACTTTGTTAGCCAGCTAGCTATCTGCCGTGTTAGGTTAATGTAGCTAAGCTAATGTGGCTAACAAGCGATATGCTAGCAATTAAATAATAGTACATGAAAAATGAGTCTAAATGTACCACAGCTATGCCGCTGGCACTGCCACCGTCACAGTAATTCCTAGAATAGTGTGTTGACATGTAATACCCGGATAATTATCAAACCAGTCCCCTCAAAAGGCGACTTCGCCCCTAGCAGCACATAGTGTGGCCAGATTCACAGGTTAACGTCAGCAGTGTGTCAGGTGCCGAATACCTGCGTCTTGAAATATGCAAATGGACAAAGCAGGTGGCAGAGTTGGCCAAGGCTTTTGTATGCAACACTCAAGCGATCGGCCACTCCTTAGTCAAGTCTCAGTGTTTGTATGGACCAGCAGTGGAAGTACACTAATGGAGTCTACCCAAACACCGGGTTATGGTTTTCCGGTTTGTAATGTAACCTGTGGACACGGTAGGTCCTCGTTGTTCTGATAGAGCTAACTTTTTATAATTTCCCAGAGCAGCTTGTTAATGCTTTTCTTGTGCCCTGCTCTCAGGTGTCTGGGCTGGCCAGGACTGTACTTTTGGTCAGTATCTGCACTGTTTGGTCGTAAATGTGACAGGCCACATCAACTCATCCAGCCTCACTATGAGTCAGGACAGGGGCAAGTATGATTTTTACATCGGTCTGGGGTTGGCTATCAGTTCCAGCATCTTCATTGGAGGCAGTTTTATCCTCAAGAAGAAAGGACTTCTGAGGCTGGCAAAGAAGGGATCGATGCGAGCAGGTACGTTCCCTTTCTGGGGGTGTAATGCACATCGCAATAAACACCATGGAACAGATGATCCAACTTTGTAACTGAGTTCAGACGCCCCTTGCTGTAGTCTTGCAACACGGAAACTCGGCTAAGAAGTCGAACCAGTACGGACAGTCTATTAACACACCTGATAACATTCCTCCCAGGCTTGCCTGGTCCCACTTGCTTGTGTAGGGTGTGTATGAGAGAGTCAACAGCACTCTATTAATTCTTAGTAATCATTAACTACTATATCACTTGGCCTTCACCGCAAATCCAGTGCAACCGCCTGATATGTACTCACAAGTTGTCATAAACCCAGTTTTTGCTTACATGCAAGTGTTGTTTAAATGAGTGAAATCTAATGTTCTAAAATATTTGTTTGTTGCTCTTCAGGCCAGGGTGGTCATGCGTATCTAAAAGAATGGCTGTGGTGGGCTGGTTTGCTCTCTAGTAAGTGATGACCCTCCAGTTGAGATTGTAAATACAAGCCCAGTTAGCATAGCTCTCATGTTTCACAGGTTAAATGTGTAGATGTTGAGATTAAAATTGGGTTAATGTTTGTTGAAAAATGTGTTTTTCATGTAGCCTTTGTTTCCTCATGTCCTCACTATTAAGTGTATAGTAAGTCCTCAGTATTTATTGAAACATTTCTTTGAAATTCCGTTAAAACCATTATACTTAAACCAAGATGTCAAAAAACAACCCATTTTCAACCAACTTTAGCCCAGTTTTAGCAGGGACTGCCTTGCAATTGACCACGCCTGTCCTTTACATGGGGAGTTATCTAACACATAGTTAAACCTCAATGCTACAGTATGTTATTGTTTACTTTTGCCTGCCTTTAATTACATTACAATACATATTGAACTTGGTGTGTCCTTTTTTTTTTTTAACAGTGGGGGCTGGTGAAGCAGCCAACTTTGCAGCATATGCCTTCGCCCCTGCTACTCTGGTCACCCCTCTGGGAGCCCTCAGTGTGCTCGTCAGGTACAAATGACTCACAGCATGAATTGAACACAACTAACTTTTTCCTTTTGTCTTTTAAACGGATTTGTGGAGCCACTGTGGCTGATCATAAGTATTATATTGCAGTGCAGTGCTGTCATCGTACTTCCTGACAGAGCGGTTAAACCTGCATGGGAAGCTTGGCTGCCTGCTCAGCATCCTGGGCTCTACCACTATGGTGATTCACGCTCCAAAAGAAGAAGAGATCAGCAGCCTCGAAGATATGACCAAGAAGCTGGTTGACCCAGGTACAAAACACTTGTCTTCTCCACTGGTGTATTCTTGTACCAACATGTACCCTTTACCCTCATTGCAACATAAACCTATTGGCAGATTGAAGCAAAATACATGAAAATGTAACAGAACCAGTATTTTTTTTTTCAGGTAACATTTGTCTACGCTTGATTGCCTTTTAGAATGGTGCATATTTTTCTTAATTCAAGACCAAAGATGACCACTTTGTCCAAGTGCACCTTAACATCTTTTGCCTTTCTCTTTTCTAGGGTTTTTTGTCTTTGCAACCCTCATCATCATTGTGGCTCTCATCTTCATATTTGTTGTTGGTCCCCGCCACGGTCAGACCAATATCCTTGTCTACATCACCATCTGCTCAGTAATTGGGGCATTATCAGTCTCCTGTGTGAAAGGACTGGGCATTGCCATCAAGGAAGCAATTGCTGGGACCAACGTGGTGAAAAACCCACTGACGTGGATCTTGCTTCTGGCTCTGGTGGCCTGTGTAAGCACACAGATCAACTACTTGAACAAGGCTCTGGACATATTCAACACCTCTATGGTGACTCCCATTTACTACGTGTTCTTCACCACATCTGTGCTCACCTGCTCTGCCATTCTCTTTAAGGAGTGGGAGCACATGGGTGCAGACGATATGATCGGTACCATAAGTGGCTTCCTCACGATCATTGTGGGGATCTTCCTGCTCCACGCATTCAAAGATATTAATGTCAGCTTGGCCACTCTCGCTGTATCCATGAGGAAGGAGGAACGGGCCTTTCCTGTGGCCAATGGCACAACTTCGCACAGCACCTATGAACTGCTACATAATGAGTCCACTGCGGACATGGAGGACAGAGAAATGGGCTCACCTTTTGATAGCATCTCTAGAAGAAATGGGGCAACAATATCCTTGATGGATCATTAAGAAACTATTTTTCCTCCCAGCCCCCTACTGTCTCGCCTCCATTGGCCGTGTTGTTGACATGGTGTATGAAAACATTAAGACAATCACCTGTATTGGGAAAGTGACTTGGTCTGACCAGTGGATTGTATTTAGCATTTAATTTGCCTTACTTTTCTCAGAATATGACCTGGTCATATTCGGTTAGTTAGAACTTTCATTCCGCTGTAGCGCTGGTAAATGAGTTTTCTTTTTTAAGAATGTTTTCTTATATGTTCATGCATATCCATGCAGTGATATACTTTCTATAAATCAATAGTTTTAATATATTCTATGAAGTCCTGCAGACAATGAAAAAGGACGAAATTTGAGTTTTTGTGATACATGAATAACAGTTTTTGTTAGGAGTCATTCTGAAATTTTTTTTGTACATTACATTGTACATTTTATTTACATGAAAAGCTCTGGAGATAAAACAGATGTTACATATTTATTGACTTAAAATGATTAAAACATTTGAAACACAAGCAGTGAATAAATGCTTAACGAGTATGGGCATTGTTACTTTTCAAATTCCATTAAAATGTTTAGCATGCATGTTAAACAGTTTAGAAAATAAACTTTCACCTCCACTTAAAATAGATTACTATTGACCCTTAATAATCCACCACTGCAAACCCTTAAATATTTATCTGATAAAACTAATTTCCCTTCCCTGATCTATTGCTTCCTGCAAGTATGAAACAAAGGATAGTTTATCCGCAAAAGGAGAAATAACTGTTCATTTCTGATAAGGCACAAGTGAATACAAAAAACTAATTGACAAAGAAATGTGGCCCAACTTCCTGACATTTAATGGTCCTTTGCTATTAAAGACCTGAAGTAAATGAGAAGGAATCATTGTGATAGTCTGGTAATGCTGGCAGTGTTTGGAATCTTGTGCTGGCCCACAGTATCAACCTTGGGGACAGCACCTCAGCTACTGGCAAGTGACTGATGTATCGGTGGCTGGAAGCATCGGACATGTTCGACTGGCATGTTCTCTCCATCACCGGACTTCAGGTACTTGTTCAGGATAGCAAAAATCTCATCATTGAGGACCTGGAATTTGCGGATTCTGTCAACCATTTTCTTCAGTGGCTAAAGGGAAACAAAACATGAACGCACAGTGTTGTGATTAAAGAAAAGGATATTTCACCTCATTTTCTTTTTATGTAATTCAAAGAAACGTATTTGCTCAGATAGGCCAATTCTAGACAAAACACTCCCAGGGCAGGTCTGTAGCACACTGTATGGGTTCTCAAACCTAAAGGAATAGTTCAGTATTTTCAGAAAAATGCTTATTGTCTTACAATGAGTTAGATAAGGAGAACATCAGCACTCACACGCCTGCTGAATATGAAGCTGCAATCAATGGCCGATTAGCTCAGCATAAAACCTTGAATCCAGGGGAAACAGCTAGCCTGGCTATCTCCATTTAACAAAGTCTGCCCACCAGTGTCTACAACTCACTAATCAACACATCAGTATGGGGGGTTCAATGCAGGATGGCTTGCTAGTCAGGTGCAGTGACTTCCTGGAGCCTTGTCAAATCATATCAAAGCTATAATGAGTAACTTTTAGCTGCTAACTTTTTGTGACCAAATATGATGGCACTGACAGTTACTGTTGCCATGTGATGCACAGCCATTTTAGAGACTGTATGTGACAGTATTGCTGATTCTGGTCTGTTACTCACCACACTCTTGATGATCTCATCCTTGCCATCATGTTTCTGCACCTTTAGAAGATGATAGCTGAAGTCCAGGATGTCGAAGCGTCTCTGTTGTCCCAGGAGGGCGATGATCATGCAGCCAGCCCAGTGGAGGCCATCTCCAAAGCACTGCCTGGAAAACAGGAATGGGGCGCATAAATAAAGATGTGGCACTTTACATCACATGTTGCAAGGATGTGGTACAGATGCCTGCACTGCTACACTCACTCCACTGTGAACTCATGGGCTCCCACAGGGATGCAGTACACAAACTGCATTGCACTCCAGAGACGATGAAACTCCACGCACTCGTCCACGTGCATCACGCCATTGCTGGGCAGTGGTCCACGCCAGATAGGGTCATCCAAGAAGCCTCGCACACGTGCGAGGATGACCTCAAACATGGATAAACCACAGCACAGCCTTTCTTTGGTCAGAAGGTCCCCTTCACGAGCTATAGCAATTTGCTGGAAGAGAAATGACATAAGAGATGGAATCTGGTCACAACAAATCTGGTGGCTGTGGTAATCAAGAGGAGCATCTCTGCCAATAATGACAGCTTCCTGTCAACATTTCTGGAATGGCTGTACCTGTGGGGTTCCAAGGCGCTCTATCAGTGGAACCATATGCAGTGCTGTGTATTTGGCTTCCAATCGTTTCATCTTGGCATCCAGGCGTTCCCCCTCTGCACAGGGAGAAAACGTGTTACAGATCAGACTGAGGATATTCTGTTTTTCTTTTTCTCTGAGTCCCACAAAAAAAAAAGACCAAAACCAACCAACAAATTAACTGATCCCACTAACAATTATAACTTGCATATCCAAAGTCTAAGTCGTTCTTCTGTGCCATCGAGCTCCACTGTTCTCACAAAACGCAGCAGTGAGTCACTTCACATTTTCCTTCTTTACCATGAACACACTGTAGTTTATATTGACTCAGTCTCACATAAACCTTCTTGCTGCTGTAAATATTCACTAGAGCACTTTTTGTGTATACGTCTGCAGCTGAACATAGTCCCCACCCACCCTATGACAGCCTACTTACTGAGCTATAAACACGTTTCTTTTCTGTGTTTAACAATATCAAGACTTTCACTCAGAACAAAAGAAAGACTTTTCTCGTTCTTCTTTCTTGTTCTTACCTTTGACATGGACTCTAGGAAGAATGTTTTGGAAAGGTGCAGCATGCAGCAAATCACACACTTCTTCCTGGGACTGGAAGAAAGACATGATAAAAGTCAAAACACTGACATGTACATATAGTATAAAGGTATGAGAACATTTAAAATGGAATCCTAAATTATATCAATGTTCCTGACTGGACTGTGATCCGTACCAGGCTCTGCTCACTCAGCAGACAGAACAGTATGGCATTGCCCACTTCCCTCAGGTTCTGGAAACACACCGTCTTGAGCTCGGCATACTCAACAATGTCTTTCAGCTGGTGGTGAAAGAATTCCAGTATACCTAAAAGGAAATACAACCAACTTATGTCATCTTCCACTAGGGTCAGGTGGTTCCTATACAATCGGTATATACTGGACCAAACCACAATGCAGAGTTCAGTGCCTCATTTCAGTCCGACTTAAATGCCTGTTGATTGAAATGGAATCCGGTGCTGTGAAATGGATGATGCAGGCAACAGAAGCATTAGTGCACATACTAATGCTATCATTCCACTTATGCTGCATTCCATTTACCTTGGAGTTCGGAAGTCAGAGCTGGGAATGAATGGGAATGTTTTTAATGTTGTCAACCTTCACTTTATGCTTTTTTTTTTAAAGTGTTGGTTCTGGTACCGTTTAGGCACCAGCATGTTTTAAAAGTATTGTTTTACCACTAATATAAAAAAAAAAAACCCAAACAATATCCCACCCTATCTTCCGCTGTATTTCACATCTGTCACACAAATAAACAGCTCTCAACCATTCATCACAGCAGGGAGTTTATCTTTTTCAGTGTGATATCAAATCATTTGCATTGAATAGTTTTTCCTGATATCCCAAGTGCAGAGGTCTCTGTACTCAGTGTGATTCTTTCCTGCATTCCTTCTCCTGCCCTTACACAAAAGCTAAAAAAAAAAAAGAAAGCAATATGAGGTACAGACCTTGTTATCTGCTCTATTACTTCATGCCAATTTGATGTTATATTATTTGCTAAAGCAAGTCTTCTCACAAGAGCTTATTTCAATTACAATGTAACTAGTTTTCCTTTTCCAATTAAAGCTTTAAGACAGCTCAGTGTTAGTGGCACAACCTGGTTCTGTTAGCGGCAGAACTGAGATTAAAATTAATGGTTCCCAGTTTCTCCAAGGAAATTCGTGTCCATACCAATAAACCAAAAGAAAAAGAAAATATAAGTCAAAGGAATCCAACATTTTTCTTTCTCAAGTCAGTGCATACTTTTACTGAGTTTGCATTAGACCAACTCTTTGGTCTATTGATCAGTCTTACAATAAGTAGGGGCTCCTTTTTCCACATACCTGGGGAGCCATACTCGTGGCGGGGAAGTCGGCAGATCTTGGGCATCACCTCCATCAGGGTCTTCACATACTGCATTATGGTGCCCTGAAGCTAAAGAGGAAAGAGCAACACACAAGAGCTTGCGTTTATTTTGTACAGGGTGACACATCTCAATTGAAATGCTTTGTCAACATGACACAACTGGTCTGTAGTTTCAGTGATAACACAAAAATGCTGCCTCACAGAGACGTCCTCTCATCTTTAACAGCAGGAAGTTCCAGCTGTGAAATCTTGTCTCACACACCATTACTGCTACTAGACATATAGATAGATAGAAAAAACTTAATTCATTCCCAAAGGGAAATTCAACTGTCCATTAGCTCATAAAAAACCACACACACACACACACACACACACACAAATAAAATAATACTGTATTAAAATAAACATATAATTTAATTAAAATAAATTAACAATTGTCCATTCATCCTTATTGCCGTGGGAACAAAGGACCTCCTGAACTGCTCCATTCTGCAGCGCAATGAGAGGAGCCAACATTTCTGCCACTCCAGAAAGCTATGGAGAGCTTTATCCAGTCTGTCCCATTTACCAGGCTTTTGACGACCTTCAGTAGTTCCTCCATCACCACAGCAATGCCCTGGTAGCCCAGCAGTCTGCACATGACCTTGATGTGTGGGGGACCCAGGAAGTTCCTGTACGAGCTGAATATGCTGCTGTATGCCTGGTTCAGGGTCTATATTCAGAGGAAGACAAGCAACAATATAAAACGTTTAACCTCATACCTCCAACACTTCACATAACACCTTATGACTCCACCACCCATGATGCAACAAGGGATGAGGCTAACTACTTGAAACACAACCCAGTACCCTCTCAATCATGAACAAATGGATGCAGAATACATTTGGTGCCTGTGGGTGTTTCGTGGCTACAGAAGTGCTGAGTCATTTTGTCACTCTGAACAACACATTATCACCCAAGGGCACATTAACAGTTTAATTAAACAGGAAGTTAAATTATGTGAAAGAAAACAACTTAGCCATTAGCAGTTCCTAGATGCTGCAATGTTCATGATAATGTTTATGATCACAAAACCTAAAGGATGCGTGGCATCCAGGCCGTTTTGTGATTCTCAGCACTAGTTGGCAAAAAATGTGAACACTGTCCCACATTAGATGATCAGTAACAGGGCTATGCTGGCAGCTCTGTGTGGCACAGCTGTGCTCTCAGAACATTATGTTAAGCAAGAATAATATTTAACATGTTACCATCTTGTTAGCAAATGTTAGTTTGCTAAAATACGCTATACAGCTGACACTGATGGGAATGTCACTAGCCTAATAGGTATATATGGTCATAAACCAAATTACTGGCAAAGTCAATTAAACCATTGACATAATATTGGTCAGAGGATCATCAGACTTCCAATTCATCCTAATGTGGACATAAATGTAGACCAAGTGTCATGGCAATCCATCCAATAGTTGTTGAGACATTTCACTCAAAACCACAAATGTGAACCTTATGGTGGTGCTAGAGGACAAGTCAGAATCACCAAAGTCATTAAGGTTTATCCTCCTGGGATCTTTAATGTCTTACAAAATCTGGTTGAGATATTTCACTCAATATATGAAAATACTGACCGACTGGTAGAACTAGGTGAAAAAGCAGGAGATCACCAAAGTCATTACAATTAATCCACTGAAGATTTAGCCTGAGGGCGATACTAGAGGCAAGTGTTAAATTTATACATGTACCCTCTTGCACCTTTAACAGCAATCTGTCCATTAGATTTTGGTCATTTTTATTTGCATATGAAAATATCTGCATGATGGGAACATCACAGTCAGGGGATCACTAGCATTAGCAATCCTCCTCAGGGGAACATGAATATGTGCAGCAATTGTTGACGGACCTCCTGGACTAAACCTTTGGACAGATGGATCAAGCAGTTGAACAATATCGCAGCCCCACCTCCCTCAGACCCTGCTGCCAGATTATCAAGATACTATTGCACTGAATAAAGTGCAGGTCAACAGGAAATTAATGATCAATATCACTATAATGTCACTAGATGAACTAGCAGGGAAAAACCGGAACAGAAAACAATGACCCATTTGGATGCACAACACATTTTTTTTCTAACATCTGCTACAACAGATTTCATAACCCCCGCCCCCGTCCGACAGCAGAGAGCTGAAGCTGCTGCTCTAATCCAGCAGCACTTCCAATAGAGTGACAACAGCAGACACAAGAAACCTCCAATCTCCGGTCCACTCCTGAGGATATACATCTACACAGCAATAGGACTCAACAGCTGGAGCAAAGGAAAATCTGAACCAACAGCTCAGGCACTACAGGCTGGTATGCTCAACACGTGTTGGCATTGTTTTTCTGGCAAGTCTTCTCTCCTATCATGCTTTGAATGAATGACCACTAATAATTCTCTTACCATGGCTCAGTACCATATAGACGTGTATAATGCATGTTGCTATTGGTTACAGCTGATCCGAGAGAAAAATGTGTGAAAAGATATTTTTGAGCTTTCTTAATGGAAAATTACAAGTGACATTTTCTATAAAAGTCATACTCAAATAGCTAAAAATATTCTAAAACTGACTTCAAACCTATTATTTTTTAGATTATCTGTGTGTGAAAATGATACTATTTAATATGATGTCTTATTTAGAAAAGTGTATAACATGACTACACCATGTCTACACTATGTGCCTTGTTCCTAGTGAGCTCCACACCCTCTAACAACAACTTTAAACAGGAGGAGGCACACTACATGGGCATTTCACTATATCACACCAAATGGCATTTGATACCTTGTAAATAAAAATCCAATTTGGGCTTTTCTATAAATTATACTTCAGCTTCCTTTCTATTTTGGACAATTTTAACAACTGATTATTAACAACTGGTTATTTAGTCACTTTGATATCAAGACTGTGCTATTACTTTGTATTCTCCAAACAAAAAAAGATTACAGTAAATATTGCATATTCAAGTAAATACATAACTCTCAAACCCAAGCTAAAACACAGGTAGTACTGTTCAAATTCAACCAGCAGGGTTTAACTGATCTTCAAGGTTGGCAGATCATCATCTGTCTGCTAGCAGGTGACTGACAGCACAGATAAGCCTCTTCACAAATCATTCTGCATTATATAATTTGCTGAACATCTGTAGAGACGCTTACCTCCCTCCCGCCACTGCACTTTGTCCCAGATAATCCTTCGTACAATGCTTCTTATGCGAAGATACTCTCCTGTGCACTGGGTAGGTGGCAATGAAATCTTACATTTCATTTGTTTAATACTATACTTTATAGGTGGGATTAACAGGAAGGAAATATGTCAATGTTGTATGTAATTCGGATAATTTTGTCATAACAACAAAAAAGATGCGGTCCTGGGTGGAAAGAGGCCCTGAAAACCTCACAGTAATCTCTGTCAGTGTCTTTATGTCATCTCTCTTTTCCAGTTTGGTTTTATGCTGTCACACTACAAAGGTTTTAATAACATCAACTGAGCTCCAGACCAGGCAGACAGACCACACAAACAGCTGTGTATCATGGCAGTCACAGTCTACAACATTTCTGCCACCTCAGCTAGAGTGAGCTGGCCGGCATCGCCCAACTGCCTCGATACCTTCTACAGTGTAATGTATGACCCCAACTGGAACAGCCTGCTCGTGGGCTACAAGCGCAAGAGCTTCATGCATGAGGAGCGCATCCCTGTCAGTCAGACGAGCACACACCTGGCCAACCTCCTCCCTCAGACCACCTACTTCTTGTGCGTGACGTGCCAGGCTGCCAATCCAGTCCGGGACCAGTGCCAAGTCTTTAGCACTCTGAGTGAGAGCAGTGAAGGTCATGACAGAGGTGGGTGGGAGCTCGCCATGGGTGTCTGGCTGACCTGCTGCATCTTGCTCCTGGTCATCACCGGCATCCTGCTGTGGGGGTGTCTCCACACCATGTGCTCCATCCCCAGCCAGGTTGCAGACTGCTGCCTGCTAGTGACCAACTCATCTCACCAGGACATGTCTGTATCTGGATGTTTCTACACTCCCAGAAGAGGCAGCCAGGACAGCAATAAGCATGGCACCATCATGCAACCCCCCCTCCTTTCAGCACAGACCACAGTCCATATAACTGACCAGGACCATGAGCCAAGGACACTTGCTAAGCTGTCTGGCAGCGAGCCAGTATGAACCAACTGAAGTGAGGTCATCATTATTTCCCATGACACTTTTCCACTTGTATTCTACATGTAGTGCATGTTTGGCTCCGCCAGGTGGACTCAAGAGAGGTCACATACAGCCAGTCAAGTCGTGCTAGAATTCAATTAAAAAATTTCTTCCACTCATGAGTATGAAATGAGTACCATAGTTTTTTTTAGTGGGTGATGACAAAGAATAGTGTACTAACCTTTGACCCGTACAGATACTGGGGCTGAGCGTTTGGTGGCTTGTCCCTCTGGAACTCCTGAGAGAAGGGCAGGATGGTGCGCACAAACCTGAACATAGATAGAAATGTTTCAAACACGTATATTTCTACTGTCACTAACATCAGGATATAATCCACAATAATGAATCAAGGAGAGGCTAAAACAAAAACATCTCCTTTCTGTAGATAACCCTGCAGCAGTATTATGTTACTTTATTATTAAACATTACGCATTCGTGGCTTATACAACAGCAAGACAAGTTCCACATACAAGTGTTTGTCTGCAGGCTGTTACTGCATATGGTCCACTGCTGAGAATGCTTTGCTTTCATCCTGGCTGTGGGATACTGCGCATACAGCACAACAGTGTACTGCAATCAGCGACGTGGTTTCTTGTAACCAGCGTGTAACCAAACAGAAGATACAGGGAATCCAACAGATTGGTTAACTGGTATGCTATCACTGTGGGCAAACCCTGACTGGTTTTCTTTTTAGAGCCAAGACAAACAAAGCTTTGTTATTAAAAATTAATAAGGGTTCAGACTATTGACCCAGTTTCAGGTTTGATACTACTCATGGCTGGATTTACCAGTTATAGGGCCCCTGGACAAATATACAAGACAAATTCATTATTCCCCAGAAACTAATGAGTACTCTATTTATATCAGCTCTAGTCAGTTAATCCATGTTCACTGTGTCTGAAATAAAGTTTGATGTCATCTGAATATACAATAGTCATGCAAGTTTATTTTAACTGAAAACAAAATTCACTGGTTCCAGCCTCTCAACTGTGTATACCACATTTGCAGCTTTTCTATGACCTTAAAGTCTTTGGGCTTTGTTTTTTTTAGATCGTTGGTCATAATGTCCACCTGAATTTTGGGAAAACTGTGATGGGCTTTCATCACTATTTTCTGACACACTGTACTAAACATTAAATGATCAATTTAATAACCAAATAATCCATGGACTAATGAAAATAATCAGTAGTACTTGCACCAAGTTTGTTTGTGTTTTCTGACTGTACATTTGTGGTGCAAACGCCTAAACAAAGTTAGCAATTAATCAAATCATGCACAACTAATTTATATGGAGTGCAAGCATTTATATTAATGTTTAAATCTAGCCTTACAATTCTTACCTTTCACTGATCATTACCATATTTTCTGGTTATTTTCATTTTCAACTCAGCGACAGCAGGTGATTTATAAGCTGGTGCTGCCACTGTGTGCCACCTGTGTGTTATATAATTGACTGATGTAACTACCATATGACCATTAATCATGTGTGCAGAATGCTGGCAGGAAGTCATGGTTTGAAAAATAATTGGCTTGATGGCTATTTTCTATTATATCTCTTTTAACAAATGTCTGTTAGTTCAGTAATTTAGCACCAGTGCACTCAAACTCCATTAAGGACAGGCATCGTACTGACCACACCGGTGGATTGTGAGACACACAGTGACCCAAACTAGCACACCTGTTGGTGGAGCCGTTGTAGCAATAGTTGGGCAAGAAGTCATAGTTGAGCTCCCAGAAGACGTGCAGGGTTATCCGGCCATAGGGAGCCGACACATTGTGGTTTGCCTCGCGGAACATGGCGTCCAAGCTGTCCAGAGTCAAGAACTTACTGAGGAGCTTGTGCGTCATGCGGTTGATTTCCAGAAGACCTTCCAGTTCCTTTAACAAAATACAAAAAGAAAAAGTCACATCAGTGCAAGGATAAACTTCAGCATTTGCATTTTGAAACACACAAAAAACTAAATCGATAGAAAAACCATACCATGATTGAAGTGAGGTCCTCACTCTCAAACCGATTGATGGCCAGCTCAAGAGACTTGTAAAGAGCAGCCGAAACCCTCTGAGTGATAAGTCTGTTCAGATCAATGGAGCGGCCTAGGAGCTGAGATTCACAACCAGTTGGTAAAGAAGACACAACATGTCCGCAAAATAACTAAGGTGGCACTATAGAGAGATGGAAATGCAGGACACACCTGGACATGTCGTTGCTTCAGTAGAGTCTCATAGCGGTTGGAGGAAGGCCAGGGGATGTTGGCCCCTTGGTTCTTACAGTCGGTTCTCAAACGCTTGTCAAGCAGAAGACTGAAAGATTTGTGGAAGAGTGAACTGTAAGGTGTGTTTTCATAACAGTGGGAATCCACATGGTGTGTTACAGCAGTGGTCATCAACTGTTTTTTGTCTCACATTAGGTTAGACCACAAAAAGTGAAGAATTCTTCATACAACTGAACTGTCAGTGTTTAGATGGGTTTAGTGATTCCTACTTCTACCACACAGACTGGCAGAAACTGGATCTTTCGAAACATTTATTTTTTGCTTTTTACTAAGAATTTTATCTGTTTATCAGCCTTGTCTATTTCAACTGTGAACCCATTATCTGTAACTATTATTTGTTTATGTATTAATTTTAGCAGACTGTTTCTATTGTTGTAATGCCTTACCTTTGAGTTTTAACCATTATCCATTACTAATTATTGCAACTGTTTACCCATTAATTTCTGCTAACTATTTCAAACTGTTACTTACAGTTAACTGAACTTGTCTGCTCCATCTGTGAGCATGTGGTGTTACAAGGTTGGTGGATGGTTACTTTCCATTTAAACACAAGTCAATATATTTTTTAATCAAATATAATTTCTGTTCTTTTTAATTAGCGGAGCTACTTCATAGTCTTGTCAAGTACCTTCTGGCAATGAAAAGAACAAAAAGAAGTGCATACAAATATTTCACCTACCTTCCTGCTAGAATCTTGTAGTAGGCAAAGATCTGATCTGCCAGCTTGTAGACAAACTGATCAAAGCACAAGTTCACCTGAAATCATATCAGATGTTCAGATCAACATGGAGTGTGTCTGAGAACACATTTCAATCTGTGATGACCACAAAACATGTGGAGCAAATAACACTTTTGAATTCAGCACAATGTCTCATTTGTTACTAAACGTGGCATTTAATTAGTGACTTAGGGGGGGGAACTGCCATTTTCATATCTTAACAGATGTCAGGACATACCGTTCTAACCTTTGCACATATTTTCCAGTTTCATTTGAGCATTGGAAATTGACAAGAACACTTCTTCCATTTAGGCAGTCTTTTTCTGTTTGACAGCTTTCATGCCTTCTTTGTCTAATTCCAGCTGCATATGTATTCACATTAACAACACTTTATACAACTATGTTAGTTGCCCCATTAAGATGTCACATAATGACTGGAAATGCAGTGCAATGATAGCTCACACAGACTGAGACAAATGAGGGAATTAGATATACAGAACATGTTTGTCACAGACAGCATCACAGCAAACACTGAAATGAGAAGAGTGGCATTCTGCAGTGCAAGATTGTCAAGCTGAAAGGTCATCCAGTATATGCATCGATGATAAAAAAAAAAAAGAATTACCTCAGCCTCTATTTCATCATAGAGGAACTGCTTCTTGAATTTGGTAAGGGCGTAGTGTGCACTGTCGTTGTACAAATCCAGGGGATACAGCACGTACCTGGAGAGGATTCAAGAACAAAAAGAAGAGTTTTATCCCCAAGTGCCTTCACTTGGATTCAAGAGTGAAGAAGGTGAACCTGCAAGTGTTACGCAATGAATTTATTCAACAATATGAATACAGGATAAGACTGAAATATAACATCTAGCTAAAAACTGATGTGCTTAATGGCTTATGTAAAACCCAATTCGTATCAACATAATCCTGCAGCAAAGATTTAACACACACATGAAAACCTTCATGGCTAATCCCAATGTTTAGGATTTTACCCATGCTGCTTTTTAAAAACATAAAATAAGAAGTAACCACCATCAGGGTTGCTGAATGCCTATGGCCAGTCAGCATCAATAGCACACAACAACCAGACCTCTGTCTTGTCAAATTCAAAGTATAAAATTTGGTTAGAAGACGTCAAAGACACAGTGTACTGTCTTTGTCCTACCAGCTATCAGATTACACTACAGTTGTTTTCCTACTGCCAGATGGATGTTTTAGACAACTGTGGAAACATATTTTACTCCATCATTGAAGCTTCCTTGGTTTCCAGGATGTGGTCGGTGAGGATCCAGGGCATTGACATCTCAATGGGGAACTGGATCCTGCGACCCATAGTGAGCTCCAAGAAGAACTCTCTGAACCAAAGCTGGGAGAGGTCACAGCACTGCTGCAAGGTCTCTGCATGGAAGAGTAAACAAGCTCTTTTAAAACAGTTTTACTAACAGAGGCTCCATCTAATGGTAGTTACATGTCATTCAAAGGGTTCTCTGAATTTAGAGGTTAGAGAGCTGTTTGTTTTTACCACTGAAGTTCAGCAAATGTGTGTAAAAGAAGGACTCGCGGTGGAACTTCTCAATGTCCAGGATGGTGGGGCCCTCCAGAGTGCTGCGCAGAGTCTTCTTAAAGCCACTTTTGTCAGCAACAAGGGACTCCAGCATAGTCCTCACCATATAGAGCTACATATATATGGGAAAAGGAGGACAATCTATAAGTGAAACCTCATTATTAACCACATCACCTGTGAACACAGTGTATCCTTCTAATGCAGATATTCTAATCTTAACACAGGTGGACGGCTTATATGAAAGCTCTTTTCTGTGTTGTCTCCTTTTAGTTGGGAGGCTACAGTACATCTTCCTTTTGATTATCAATCAAAATATGTTTCAGTTTCAAATACTTTAACTCACTCCCAAAATTTCTATCATTTATTACTCAATGCACTGCACTTGAAATCTGTTTTCATGGTAGACAAACACAGAAGGTGATTGCTTAATTGGATTTTATAGTCCTGCAGTGGAAAAAAAAGAAAAAGATTAGTTCTTGGAACTGAGCAATAAGCTGATTAATCTGCACGGATATTAGGAATGCCACTAAACAACAACGTGTAACATAATTACACAGCATGACCGCTACTGAGCTCTGTGATGTGTGGATTTAAACAGAGCCAAACAAATGCACTCT